TGGTGCAGAGCCAGCCAGTCTATCTGCCTGCTTATTTCTCAACACACCGGCATGACCTGGAGAAAATATCCAGATGATGCTCTTTGATTTAAAAAAAAATAGTACAAACAGCTGCTAACATACCTTGGTGATCCCATCTGTACTTCATCCATCCTGACCTCTCCACTGACCAGGTCTAGCACAGAGTCTTTGCTTGAGAAAGAATCCTTCTCCTGGTCTTCAGGTGGCAGGAGCTTGGGCAGTACAATACTGGCAGGTGTCTTGCGGAGTGTTGCCAGTCGTGACTTCATGAACGCATTGTGGGTCACTGGAAAAAGAAGCTATGTTCTGTTAGCACGATTGATATCGGAGCACACCGGGCATTCCCATGCATGCTCAATCATTTGATGCAGCTACCATCCTAGTTTGTCTGTACAGCAGCGGTGCGGGCTCACCCACCCTCAATACTTTCTAGGGCTCAAGAGGCCAAGCCTTGTTTAAGCGAATAATAATAACAATAATAATGAATTGTAGAAAGGAAACAATATGTGGTTGGGGGGGGGGGGGGGGGGAGTCTGAAATGAAATGTTAGAGGAAATGGGCCTTAAGCGTTTTATTCTCCCCTTCCCGCAAATTTTTTATTTTGGGGGTTCCTAGAGTCCTAGCCTTCCAGCTTCCGACACACTTGCTGTAGAGCAGGCTAGACACCACAGTGAAAACATTGGAATGGTTTTTGTGGTCCGGGGGAAAAGGGAGGAGGGGACTTCGCCCCAATAATTTTCTGGTGATTGTGGAAGGGGAGGGAGGTGCTCAGGCCTTGTTAATTTGTGCAGTAACAATAATAATATATAACAATTATTATTATTACTGTGCAGTTAAACCAGGATTAAGATTACTCTCCTTCTTCTTCTTTGTTCAGAACCGTCAAAATTTTCTAGGGAGCGATGTGAGATCAAGGGGTTGAAGATTTGTTTGAGTGTGCTATAATAATAATTATTATTATATGCTAAATGGAAAATAAATGTTATATATTTGAAATAAAATGAATATATAAAGAAATACTTTTAAAAGAGAACGCTTATACGTGGTTGCGAGAGCGTAAGGGAGGAGGGTGGCAGGCACTTACCCTTCTTGCAAATTTTCTTTTAAAAAAAGGGGGGGAGTGGGTGGATGGGTCATGTTTGCTCACCTCTCCCCATCTACTGAGGTAATGGAACACGTAATGTTAATCCCCCCCCCCCCCTGCCCCACCCCCATAAATACACTAGGTCACTTCTGACTGGTAGTTCCTGAGCCTCGTGACCTTTGCACAAGGTTAGAGGGGTTTTCCTCTATACCGTTGATATCGCATATTGTATATTTCAGCATGCTTTTAACACTCCAAAAAATATGGAGCAGCTGGCCCCAACACAACTCCTCCTAGAGAGTGCTGCAACCTATGTCACAGGCATTCTCATTCTCGGAATGAAAACGTAAATGCAAGACAACACAGAAAGCAAACAATAGAGCAAGACACACCTGTAACCTTCAGGGAAGTCTACCAGCCCAACAAACTTGTGAATGAAAAGGGACCTACTCTATTTGGGGAAATTTGCGTTATGTTAACCCAGGTAACAACTAATTCGTAAAAATGTGTGTGTGTGGGGGACGGGGTGTGTTCTCACCCCTCTCTTTATTTCTAAGGTAAAATTAACCCCGAAAATGCGGAGGTGGAGGCGCCCAAAGGTAGCTGAGCTGCCAGGTCCCAGCGCCCTATGTTCCGTACAGCATTGATTTATCAGCCTTTCTTGTTTCCCCCTGAATTTTAGTGCAGTATTTTGACTGTTGATTCGCTCGTTCGTTTCTATTACACCCCCCCCCCCTTTTTTTTTCTCTGCCTTTTAAACCGAAATAGTAACCGAAATTGCGACATTGCTTAGACCAGTGTTTTCCAAACTTGTTTGGCCCACCACCGCCTTTTCAATTAAAAGAAATCGCGCACCTACGCCTTCGAAATATCACTAGCATCATGAGCCATCCCGATAAGCAGAATTACGGTTAAGATCAATGCTCTTGTCTCGTCCCATGACTGGCAAGCCATCAGTGTGTTTATCTGTTTCCTTTCCAATGCTCTCTTTCAACTACTCTTGCCAGCTGTCATCAAGTTCTCGAGTCTATCCCTGGCCTTGATTACACCTTCTGAGAGCGAACAAATGGAATGATGCGATGACACTTTAATGTACCGTCTACCGCTCTACTTCATACAACATGCTTTGGCCTGTAATCTTTCTCTTCAATGCAGTTTCATAGCTTGTTTTCAGAGTCTTTGGCGTTTTAACACCCTGAGACATATGGGAACCACATAAGGTTCCTTTTGGTTCTCGTAGGATCATCTGTCTTTCCATTTATAGGGTTACCTTAGTGGGCCTGTAGGTCTATAGAGTTGCTATACCATAATCCGAAACATAATATAGTCTACACCTTTAATTTGCATAATAAAGGGGTGGAACAAGATAGTACGTATTTAAATACAAAACACTTTAAGGAAATAAGGTCATATCGGCGACCGGATCACCCATTGACTCGCCCGTAGACGACTTCATCACCGGTCGGGACATAATTTGGGTGTCTCATTTGATCGCATCAACAATGCAGTAGTCCTTTTCGTGGCTTTTGATGGCGTGCAATGCTAAGCCATTTTGTATGACGCACATAACCTAGTCATAATTATAACTTAAAGCTCACCGTTTGGGGTGCTGGTTGAAGGTGAAGTATTTTTTTTCGCCCAAAAAAAAAAAAAAAAAAAAAGCAACAGAACGAATGAAGGAAATCTAACCTTCGCGGTGCCAAGCTTGCTGGTCTCTTGCAAAACTACTGCCATCAATGAAAGAGGTCTCCAGAGCAGACCGCAACTTTACCAACTTCTCCAGATGCTGACAATGTTCCTGCCGCTCACTTCCTATAGTTATAGGAACAATCGTGACTTTCAGATCATCGAAAACACTTTCGTTAGTCCAGGGGTTTGAATCACCTACAACTTCTCCAGGTCCGGAAAATATCTTGGGTTGTACAGAAGTGCTGGAATAACTAGTCGGCCACTCACCTTTTGTGTTCGGATAAGGTGATTCTGAAGCCATCTGATTTGTGCTGAGGTCATTGTTATGTTTAGCTACATTTAATTGCTTTTTATTTTGATGCTGTGGACCCCGATTTTTCTGGCCATTAAACTGTGATTTGTTTTTCTGTTTATTCACTTTTCTTGTCTGAACAGGTTCCTCGAAGATTACTTCAGATCCTTCGTCCCATCTCATTTCACACTTTTCTGAATTTATATCTTTGGAGACAACTTCTGATGCACTAGAATCCTGTCCATTTTTTTCATTGACATTTTCTACCGTATCGCCCAGTCTAAATTCATCTCCATAATTCTGCTCCATAACCCATTCATCAACGTGACCAACTGATACGTCCCAATCGATTTTAAGATTCTCGATAGTACAGATGATACTAACTAATGTTTTTATGTTTGTTGGAATATAGCTACCAAAAAAATTTATATTTATAAAATAATGTTATTAAAGTACTAAACTGTATAAAATTATCAAAAAATGTAGTTGTATCAGCAGGTACGTAAAATGCTAATAAATTAATTTCACTTGTAATAATTTTATGTTTAGACAAGATAAGTTGCTCTACTGCACTGCTACCATTCCAATTAATGCAATGTAACTGGGCGTTCACTGTAAGCGGTGAGCGGTGCAAACTTCTTCTGCTCCAACAAAAACAGCAAGGAGTGCAGGGACTAGCGTGTGGGAGCTGCGGGGTCGAAAGTTCAACAACTAAATCATAACAAATCCGCCCATATGATGTGATTATATACAGACAGTTCTGTGTTGAGAGACAGAATAAACGTTTGTTGGTGCATAACAAAAGTGATGGATGACACTTAGGGCAACAGCCTGGCATATGATAGTAAACTGTCTAGTTTGAGAATAGAGATAGAGGCAGTTACTAAGGCCTTCCGCTAGCTTGAATATCAGCTGCACTTCATCATCATCATCATCATGTGCCTTGCCGACTGGCGTGGGCGATCATGCCTCTCCACAATCTGCGATCTCCTGCAGCATGTATCAGTTCGTGTGTCGACACACCTCCATGCCATGCAACAAGACTGTCAAGCATCTTCTCTCGTTGTCTTCCTATATCTCTCCTTCCACATATCTTTCCAGTGGTCACAACATGTTCTATTTTCCCTCTTCTCATAACATGGCCGAAAAATGATGACTGTCTCCTTCTGATGTCTGTGATAAGTTGTCTTCAGACTCCCGCCACTTTCAAAACCTCTTGGTTGCTCTTTTTGGCTGTCCAATGTATTCTTTGCATTCTTCTGTAAAACCACATCTGCGAGACCTCCAGACATTGTTTGGCCTACCTACCGATTGTCCAGGATTCACAGCCATATGTTAAAACTGGATGTATGTAGCAAGCAAGAATTGCTGCACTTACATGTCCCGAATGGTAACAAATTCGCAAAGCATGTTGAGAAAGGTAGAGTGTTTTGTGCAGACTGGCAAGCATCGTGCCATAAGCCTGAAAATTAGCGTCATTTCGATATTTTTTTGCATTCATGCATGTGTGTTGAGAAACGAACAGTTAACAGATTGGAGGGTCCTGCAATTCTGATGCATGACAAATTATATGCGATCATTGCCCTATGTGGATTCCAAGGCCCATTTGGGGATACAAATAATAAACCCGCTGCCCCCTGACAAGATGTCGTAAAACTTTTACAACATGCTTTACTAAAAGGCGACAAATTGTGCGTGTTTGCTGCGGTCAGTTTATCTGCTTGAGAGTCGAGGAACACTCTGACAGTAACTGGTACCATCGGAATTTGAATTCTTCGTTTGCTGCTAAAGATGGGGACGGAGCGCTTATATGAGTGTTCCGAATGCTATGACGTCGATTCTTAATTCAACATTTAACTCAGTCATACGTGGCAATACCCAAGTAAAGTTCGGTAACTCTTGTAACTTATTGCGATGGCAGTTGGCAGCAGACAAGTTTTGTTGGGGGTGTTGTCCAGAAAATTCAGTGTCATCACAAAACCAATAAAACCAACAAAATCTGGGAACTCTTTGTCTGTGCACAGATGTATATCATCCTCGTCTTTTGTGAATAATTACGCCAAGACATTCGCGGATGCATTGGAGAAACCAGAAGAGTTTTGGTCAGCGGCCGCAGACAAGGTTCATTGGTTCAAGAAATGGAACAAAGTCTTGGACCAGAGCAGATGGCCTTTCACACAGTGGTATTTGGACTTTTATCAGAAACAACAGTTTAAAAACGTGTGAATTATTCATGTGAACAGTTTTTTTTTTAAAGATTCTGGTTCTTTTTTATTTTTTGTGTGTTTCAGTTAATTTGCAAGGCATTTTAGATGCTTAATAATTTTCATTTTCTTTTAATTCTAACTTTTACTTTCATTTTGCAATAAAAGTATAGTATAACGGTCGCCAACCAGTTGTTGGCAGGTCGTCTGGGATCTACTCCTGCTAGATTTACATCCCCAATGGTGGCTGTTTGAGTCACTGGGTGTCAGTCTTTCAGGCTACAGTCACAGAGGGGGGAAATACTATTCTCTTTTTTTTTTTTTTTTGCAGTTCTTCTTCCATATTTGAATTATTTGCTGTTGAAAATCTGTTGGCTCAAATGTTGTGTTTATAGCTAGACTGTGATATCTGCACCTTTCAGCTCAACACATCTGATTTCAGCAAACTCTTAATAAGTAACATTATACAAGATGTTTGTTGGGAGGCAGTGAGTCTGTTCCCCCCCCCCCCCCCCCATAAATTATGCTCTTGAACCTTTATGTAGCTTGTAGTTCAGAGGGCTTGTTTCTGATCACAGTCCTTTTTTTTGTAAGTTTTTTTTTTAAAGTGGAGTGAAGTAATCAGTCCTAAGCTAATATGTGGTTTCTTTTTATAGGTACTTTAGTCAAATTTAAAATGCCCTCTACACCAATAAAACCAGCACAGTTAGATAGCTGTAAACAATCTCTTTCCAACGGTACCTCATTTAGGCTTGTGTGTCATTTCTGAGCTGAGATATGTAGGTTTTTGTGGAGATGAGATGTAGAAAGCAGCTGCTAAAGCTTGTGACCCAGAAACAAGGTTTTCTCTCACTGCGCACCAAACTGCGCACTTATCATTTTGGCTTTGTTGACATTGGACTGTCATTGGACAAGATGGCAGGCAATGAGACACAGCCACATGCGATTGCCTAAAAAATGTTACTGTAAATCGAACTAGCCATACCTAGGAAAGAAATTTTTTATACAAATGTAAAATTTGACGGAGAATTCAATTATAACTAGCATTACCATGTAAAGTAATGTTAAAGGCCTAAAGCCAACCGTGAATAGTTACCGCTATTGTTAATCAAACTGATGTAACAGAAAAACTGAGGACGTCCGGCTGTCGTAGATATGCGCTGTTAATCGGGTTCCTTCCCGCCGTTTTCGGCTATTTAGAGTGGGTGAAAATCACACCAATCTCAACATTTCATGAGAGATTAGGACCCATCCCGAAACCCCAGCCAACATTTCCGAAGCAAGTTTCGAACGGTTTCCATGGTAACGGAAATTGCCAAAAGATCGCAAATTTCCGGACACCGTAGTCGCTACTTTTTATTATATGCTTTGTTGATTCCTCACTTTCATTTCCCAATGAAGCATTGGCAGTCAACTAATTCACACTGTCTGGGCAGTAAAAAAAAAAAAAAAAGCATGTCAAGCAAAGCATTCTTGTCAACACCTTTGGCTCATTAGACATTATAGTGCTAGACTTATGTTTTCATAGGCCAGTTGGCACTTGGTCACCATCGCTCTGGCTGCCTTTACTTTCCATAAAATTACCTAATACCCATTTTAGTCTGGATTGGCCTGGGGGCCCAAGTCATTTTTGAGGAAAAATAATGTAAAAAAAAATTTATGTAAGTTCACACCCAAGAAATTCAGGCTGACAGGCAAGCATCGCTACTGTACTAGCATGATTCCATACATAATATTAAGCATTTAGAAATGAATAACTAAGTGTTGAATGATCTGTCTTTATAGGTTTGTTGGAGGGGAGCTGAACACTTGCTACAATGCTGTCGATCGCCACGTATCAGCTGGAAGGGGAGAAGATCTGGCAATTATTCACGACAGTCCGGTCACAAGCAGTATCAGACGTATTACATATAATGAATTGTTAAAACTGGTAGGGATATTTCTCTTTGTTTTCTACAAATTCTTATACACCAGTGATTCCAAATCTGTGCACCGCGGTGCCCCAGGGAGCTGCGACCTCTGTACAGGGGCCCTGCGAAATATTGTAAAAGCTTCATGAATTTAACCAAGACACGAAAGTCATTCTTTTACTTAGGTTAGGGCGCTGTGGAAAAATGTTAATTGAAGAAAGGTGCCGCAACCAAGAAAAGTTTGGGAAACACTGTTATACACTTGTAAATGACTTACACATTATTGGTATTTATTCTTCTCCATTTGTCTCTAGTAGCCTTGTGGTTAAAGTATAGGACCCTTTTCACACCAGTGGGAGTATTTGTATGGACCAGTAAGCTAATTATTGGTGGTACGGTCAACATCACCCTGGTGACCTTTACTGTTCTGGACATACAGGAGTGTGAGGTAATGAAAGAGCATATTCTTTTTTGTTTTGGCTAGAAGAGCAAACTACAAGAGTAGGACAAGGCAGATATTCTGAAGACCATTTATGAATGAATCTTGATGGAAGATACAAGATTAAGTGTTTAAGGTTGCATTAACCATCTAACAAGAAGGGACCAGGCCACCATCTTCAGACTCAGAACACAACATACTCCACTCAGTGGACATCTAACCAGAATGCAGCCACACCACTCCCCAGAGTGGCAGCTATGTAACTACCCCTACGAAACTGTTGACCACCATCTCTTTGAGTGCCCAAAACTCAGCGAGACTAGAAGAATGCTTCTCCCTCAGAGACCAGACAAGTGGAACACCTTGAACGGAGGAAAAGAATAGCTTGTGAAAACATGCAAATTCCACTGTGTGGCATTGGGCCAGAGAGTGAAAGCTCATGCGCCGCTGGATAGATAACAACAACAAGTGTTTAATATTGCGTGAATTTGGAGTTAAGTGTGGATCCAACAGGAAAGGACATACTAGTGTAGCAATGCAATATGTAAACAGCTAGTGTGCTACTGAAACAGTCAGCATCCATACCTTAAGACATTTGCTGGGATGAGGGGAGCATTACAGGTATGTCCAGAATTCTATGACATTGATTCTTAAATCATTTCTATGTGGGTTGTCCGACCCCATTTCAGAGGAAAAAGAGAGGGGGGGGGGGGTAAAACCACTGCCTTCCATTTAGCTTGTCATAAAAGGTGACGAATTAGGGTTGTTTCCTTCGAAAGTCAGAGTACCTCTTCCAGAGAGGCAATGAGCCAACAGTGTGCACACAAATAAGCCAGATCTGTAAAAGAGCTGTGCATGCAGAACTCAAGTTCTGGAACAAGACCAAAGTCCAGAAGCAGATAAATAACCAGAACTGTTAGCCTGAGTTTACAAATCGTCAAAGAAGAAGAAGGAGACAAAAAAAAAAGGATTCCTTAATCAGTAATTATAAGCAATGACTGTGTCTCAGATATCTCACATATAGTGAAAGTTACCAGGCTATAAATATGTAACTAAAGTAAATGACCCCTTTCTTGAGGTATAATAGACATATGGTGCTAGCCTCTTTTTTGTGTAGGCCAGTTAACATTTAGCAGGTGATGTGATCAGTATCAGTCACACAAGCCACTTTTACTTTCCTGAACATGGTATCAGTTTTATTTTGTAGGCTATATCTTGCCTGGAAACTGAAGTCACTTAAAAATATCCCTTGATAGAGATTTGAAAATATTAATGCTTGCCACTCTTATTGTGGCTGTCACAGTAATGTCTGGTAAAAAGCTTCTATTGTTGTAGATTTTCTTCTTCTTCTTCTTCTCTTTCTTTGTTCACGTGCTGTAAGCTGTGGCGGAATGTCCTAGTTGTTTGTTTGGACTTCGGCTTTGTGCCAGGACCTGAGTTTTATGTGTACATCCGTTTTTCTGGCTTATTTGTGTGCAGTTGGTTGTTCCTTGCGGCTAGGGCAGATGCACCCCTACTTCGAAGGAAGCTGCCAATTAGTAAACTCCTACAACATGCTTGTTGGGGAGGCAGTGGACCTGTTCTTATTGTCCCCCTATAATAGAGCCCCGGAACCCACACATGGAATATTCTTGTAGTAATATGCGTGCTGTTTGTTGGCACCTCTTGGTTTTTGCAGTCTGTATTATTATATTGTACTTTAGGGAGGCATAGGAGTCACAACCCATGGCAATGATCAGTGGCAAGCAAGACTTGCTCATCTTAAGAAAAGTCTTCCGCAGTCAGAGCATACAGTTTCAGGACCGTTGTTGTCATCATATATGTGCAGTGTGCATCTTCTCAGGTGCTCGGATCTCAGCCTCTCTGCAGACATTTTCTTCTTTATCCCTTTTTCTCTTCCTGAGCTTGAAAATAGTTAGAACAGATTTGATGCATTTGTATTCTAAAATGTATTTTTAGTTTCATTGCCCTAATTAATAAATAAGGTATTATATTTTAGTATATAAACAACTTTGAAGTCACAGTGCATCTGCCTAATAGGCAAGGAAATATCAGACTGCAGCCATGCATGCGTGCGCCCACCCACACATGCACACACACATCCCGTTCCCCCAACCCTTATAAATGGATAATTCTGACCTTAAGTTTTACATTATCAGTTGAGTTATCTTCATGGTACTCCAGACATGTCCATATATGTTCAGATTCCTTCGTCAACACATCCATCAACGTCCCATAGTTTATAGCGCTAGTCCTATGCTGGTTAACAAGACTTCCTGTACGTCCAGTGTGCTTCTCATGCCTGACTGTGCTGACCTTTACTCCCAGTTCTCACATTCTTAGCAGCAATGTGAACAGGCTGCTCACAAAATCTTCCAATCGTCCTCTCTCTCTAAGGCAGTGGTTTCTAACATGGGGAAGGGGGTGAAGAAATTTCAAGGAGGGTATCAAGCAATTTTGAAACTGAGTACATTTGTACTTGTAATAATCCGGATTTCTAGCTTTACCAGTCATGAAAACAAAACAGTGTTGTCAGCTTGATGTGGAGAGTGATCTCTGCTGTGCCATGTCCAACATCAGATACCCAAAATAGCAGATATCATCAAGACAAAACAGTGTCAGCCATCACATTGATATTTGGAGACTAAATTACCAATTTTTAGTGACTATTTCTTCTGTTATTTGACTCTTTGTTTTATGTGGAAGTTTTTCTCCAAGTTCTTGTTAACAGTGCTTGGGATTTTTCTTTTTGTCTTCGTCCTTTTAATAACATTTTATTATTGGGGGTGGGGGGGGGGGGTCTTGCTATACCAACAACACCCGCATAGTCTAGGATGAAGGTGAAGGTAACTCCACCTTCTGACTTACTTCTGACCTTACTTCCAGGTGGAGGACTTTGCTGGTGCCCTTGTGGCTCAGGGTGTGAGGGCAGGAGATCGAGTGGTCATTTACATGCCCATGATCCCTGAGGCTATGGTTGCTATGCTTTCCTGTGCTAGGATTGGTGCCGTCCATTCACTGGTGTTCGGAGGCTTTGCAGCAAAGGAGTTGTCAGTTAGAGTGGCTCATACGGAGGTAAAAGCAGCTTTCAATAAATATAGCTTTGTTTGTTTTTGTTTGGGTGCAGCCTTTCCCATGTAAATTCCGGGGCCCCATTATGGGGGAAGGGGGGGGGGAGGTGTGGAAAGACCCGCTGCACCTCCCCCTTCCCCGTAAGCATGTCATAAGAGGTAACTACATTTATGGGCCTATCCTTCAGAATCTGAGTACATCTGCCCCTGAGAGGAAGGTAACCAACAATCTGTGTACAAATAAGCAAAATCTGAAAAACGAATGTGCGTGCAAAACTCCAGTTCTAGAACAAGACCAAAGTCCAGAAGTGGAGGAACAACCAGAAATTTCTCCTGGAGTTTACAGCCGGTAAACTTGAAGAAGAAGAAGAAGAAGAAGAAGAAGGGTGCATTCAATGACGTAGAAGTTATTGAATACATTTAATAGTATCACGATCATGGAGTACTGGGGTGCAATTTCTGCAGAGGAGGGTTTATATAGAAATAAACAAACCATTTTTCATGGTTTTTCAGACACTAGAACGAGAGTCACATCGTGGAAGAGATTGGGGCCTCACCTCATATTATTCCCAAAGGCTGATGTACTGAAGCCTCCCGTCATTGTGGAGATGGTACAGTTTGTTTAAAATTATTTGTTTATGCTAAAAGTGGTTAACAGAATCGGCATAGACCATGTACAGATCTTGGATCTGCTGTTGTAGTGTTCTTGAAGCTTTTTACACCTGCGGACCGGGAGAACACGGGACATATTTTGCAGACCAGCTAAAAAACATTTGACAGAAACTATAAAAATATTGATTACAAGTGTAGATAACATTTAAAATCTAAAACATACAAAAAACAACAGCAACAAAAAAACCATATATGTATATATATATATATATATATATATATATATATATATATATATATATATATATATATATATATATATATATATATATATATATATATACACACACACACACACACACACACACACACATATACACACACACGCATATATAAACAACACGCCCATTCATTGTCATTACCAGAAATTAGAACACTTATCAAAGGAAGATACAAGGCGTTGTGAAGAGAACAAACCACAAGACCCCATCAGCAGACTCAACAGAAAGCAACATACACATGTACAATTATTACATATGGTATTTTGCTAGCTCATGCATAAAGCAACTATTGGCCATATTGATTACCATGACTCGACTGCTGAGACCAAGAGACAGAGAAATAACATTATAATGAGGATCAGATGGAAATTTAGGTGTCTTACTCTCTCCAGTGTTCTGGGGAAGTAAAGGCGGCTGGAATAATGGTGATCACATTACCCATCTAGTGCCGATTGGTATGTAAAAATATGGGATGCTCTTCCAATATGCCCGATGTGCCTAAGTCGTGAAAAGGGAACTTTACTTTTTCCCCCTCTTTAGTACTGAACAATTTTCTGTGAATAAATTTTGCATACATGGGAAGATGTTCTCTTTAGTCATAATACATGTGATTTTTTACCCGCAGCCAACTGTTATTGTGAGTGCAAACTGTGGGGTGGAGCCTACAAGAGTTGTAGAGTACAAACCCCTTCTGGATGAAGCCCTACAGTTGATTGACTTCAAACCCAGGAGATGCATCATATTCAACAGACCACAAGTGAGTACATTCGTCTCCCAGCGTAGATTCGGTGGCCTGTTTTTGGGAGACTAGAAGAATAGACCCGCTGCTTTTTCACAAGCATAATGTAAATGATTTTTAAGTAAGTTTAACTGAACAGGTCTCAAACATACAAACATCAAGTCCAACAGAAGTCGAAGGAACTGATTAGACAGACAACAGCAACAGGTTACTAGTCAACATATGGTGTTTTGAAACAATGAAACAGTGATTGACAAGAGAAAATATTTTGATTTATCGACTGATTGATTAGGACAAGATAAACTGATTCTGTAGACAGCATAGCTTATCCTGATTTTCTTATTGTGATGATTTCAGTAACATAAACCATTTTTGTAAAACAGTTTTATTCAGTCAGTAAGCATTGCTTGAAATGAGATAAATCAGTTTCATGAACACATTTTTTTTAAGTCTGTGATGTTAAATGCCATTTGGTTTAGAGTGTACATTGTTTGGCTTTGACAGTTCGCACCTGCCACCCTAAAGAAGGGGAGAGATGTGGAGTGGAACGATGCAGTCTCTCAGGGCAAGCCAGCAGAGTGTGTGCCGGTCCCTGCCACAGATCCGCTGTATTTACTGTATACGTCAGGGACTACAGGTTTACCAAAGGCAAGTGTCCTTCTATTTTGTTCAGTTTCAAAGCTTGAAAGTTCAAGCCATCAAGATAGCAGCAGAGAAACTGCTAAATATCATACTTCACAACCCATGGTATTCTTCACAGATGCAAGAGCGGTACTTTAGGTATTCCAGTCTGGAAATTTACCAGGTATACATAGAGTACTCTTCAAATTAGGCAAGTGGTGTAAGGTAACTATGCAGTGAATACTATCCCATTGCGGAGTTCCCAGAAATAAGAGAGCTGATAAACTAGCTAAGGAAGGTGCAAATGAAAAACAACCTGACCAGAGCAAGTCATTATTATTCACCTTAGAAAAGGGCACAATCAACTTCGCAGCCACATGTACACAAAATTTAAAATTAGCAAATCAGCCATGTGCACATGTGGAGTGGTACCTGAGACAACAGATCATGTCCTCCAAGACTGTCCCAGATACAACATATCAAGGCAAAACTTATGACCTAGAGAAACACCAATGTAAGCCAAACTTTACTGGTCGCTGAGTGAATATGTAGTTCATACTAGAAACAGTATTGCAGATTTAGATAATCTATTTCAGGCAAACAAAGGAAGAAGCAGAAGAAGAAAAAGAATTTTCAAAGAAAAATGGCATCTTCTTCCTCATATTCTTCTTTGTGATCAACATTTGCTGTTTGTCTTTTCCAATTTAGGTCGTAAACAGGATGGTGCGCTTGAGGTCTTCACCTGTGTGCCATTGTTTGTCTTGTAGGGTCACTCCTGTGGGTCATATTTGCTCTCTCTAACTGTCACAGTCTGGGCAGTCACTTAAAACATACCTTGGAGTTAGCTTTTGTGCAACATAGCCACATGTGGAAAAGTTAGCAAGACCCATTCAGTGTAGATGTGCACCAAGTTATTAACATCCCCCTCTAAGTGGTGATATTCCTCTAAATTTTTCTTCCTAATTAGTTTTATTAATTCATATATCTTTCTGTGTAAAGCATGATCGTCTTCTTTAATAATTTCAGCAGCAAATCCATCAGCACCAGTTGCTTTATTGTTTTTAAGCCATGTTATGACAGAGTACTTCTTCTTCTTCGTCTTCTTCGCGTTCACCGGCTGTAAACTCCAGCGGAAAGTTCTGGTTGTTCATCCACCTTTGGACTGCAGTCCTGTCCCAGAACCTGAGTGTTGCATAGGCATCCGTTTGACAGATCTGACTCATTTGTATGCAGACTGTTGGTTCCTTGTCTCTCAGGCAGATGTACTGACTTCGAAAGAAGCTCCCAATTAGTCAACTCTTATGACATGCTTTTATGTAGGCAGTGGATCTGTTCTTGTTTTCTCTATAACAAGGCCTCAGAACCCACATGGGGAGAGAACCTTTTAAAAATTAGGCTCTTCAGTACTTGGTTTGCATGTTAGTATCTCTTCTTATGGGTAAGTATTAAGTGGAATTTCACAATTTAACAATTCAGTACTGTTTTCCTTCCATCTGTTACATATTTCCTCATTATTATTTGTCATGTTCCCATTGTGATCTTTAAAATTATTTATGCTGTGTTGATGCCCTCATTTTGCATACTTCAGTTCTTTTAAAAAAAATTTATGGATTCGTTGTTCTGATTTTTTGCTTCTATATCCACGACAGTATTGTTAATGTATTTTCGCTTTTGCTGCCTAACTACTTTTGTAGCTTCTTTACATTCTGTTCTATATTTTTCTTCATTTCGTATGTTACTAGTATCATTTAGCCACATTTGCCTGCATGTTTTTTCTTACTGACTGCTTCTTCACATTTTTATCGAACCTTTTTTTTTTTGTTTTCTGTTTATGGTGGGCACACCAAGACATTCTTCTGCAATTTTTTGAAATATATTCTTAATATCCATCCAGGTTTGGTCAGTGTCTTCCTGGAACAAATTTTTGTATAATTTTAATTTGCCTGCTCCATCCTCATCCTCAGCAGCCAGCACAGAGTTCCAGTACTGATGGTATACTGAAGAAGAGACTGTTTGCTTAGTATTATAGTAACTGACACAGACGTGCTGACTCATTTGCAGGCTGTGGTACGACCAAGTGGAGGACATGCTGTGGCCTTGATGTGGACCATGGGGAATGTGTACGGCATGAAGCCTGGCGATGTAAGCATTGTTACCTGTATTCTGGTCATTTGTAAATTGGAAATTCTAGTTTGCTATGTCATTGTTTTCTGTGGTCATGAATTTTACAACTTAAAAGATTACTTGCCATTGGGGTTCCATAGCCCCATTTCAACCCCCAGAAATACATCCCTGTGTATCATATGACACATTATGATATAAGATAACCTACCCCATCCCTAACCATGATTTCCTTTCCTAATAAAGTAATCTAAAATAGTGTCTCAAAGCAACACAGCAACTTGGTATCTGTTCTGTCCACTGTAGCCACGTAAGTCAGTTACTCTAGTCTTGAAAGAAAGATTCTAAGAATACCATAGACCAAGAAGAAGAGACATAATGACATCCACAACAGATCTAAACATTAATGAAGATCTTGTCTCTGAAACTGAAATGTTTTTGCCACATCAAACACCACAGCAGATTAGAAAGAATAGTAGCAGGAGGCATGGTGCCAGGAAAGAGGGGCAGGGGCCGATCAGCGTGTAGGTGATCACAGGATATAAGTGACACCTTGGGTAGGAAAGTGCAAAGGACCTGATAAATGATGATGAGCCTTGAAACTGTCCAGCCTTTCGCTCAAGCCTTGATGTATACAAAAGTGAGTATTGTCATTTGCTGTTGTATCCTAAATGACTGACCAACACTCTAGTCTGGGATTAGAATATTCCTTTCCCTTTGTGGGTTCAGGGACCCTATTTAAGAGGTGGACCCACTTTGATTATTTATGGGTTTGCTGAAATCAGATGTCTGTCGCAGATACTGTGGCAAAGCTGCTAGCCATGACACAACAGGCCAGCTGCGTTTGTTTCTAAAGGTGAACACAGAGTTAGAAGAAAAAAGTTATCATTTGTGGCAGGATTGTTAACAAGATAGACAACGGTATAAGTGGGAGGACAGTGTCATGAGATGGACAGTCACAGTCTGAGAGAGCGTACAACCAAGACAAGAGACAGTATGAAAAGGAGATCTATTACAGCCAACCTTCACTGTGGAGAAGACACCTGCCTGATTGATTGATTGTTAAGAACCACTGCCACCAGTTTACTACTGAGTGTGTTGTTGACAGGTTTTTGAATTTTGAATCAGTATCACAGACTCAGGCCATTCCCATTAGTGCTCCGTCCCCATCTTCAGCAGCAAGCTCAGAGTTCCAGTTCCAGTGGCACCAGTAACAGTCTGATTGTATATCCGCCTCGCTCTTCCCTTGAGTACTGAGCATAGGACAGATCCCCCTGGTCACTCCTCATAGCAACATTCTCCTCAGGCCATGATGTCTCCCCATGTGGGTTCCGGGGCCCACTGCCTACTCAAAAGCATGTCGTAAGAGTCAACTAAAGGAGCTTCCTTCAAAGTTGGATTGCATCTGCCTGAGAGGCAAGTAACCAACAGTCTGCATACAGATGAATCAGATCTGTAAAATGGATGCACACGCAACACCCAGGTTCTGGAACACAACTGCAGTCCAGAAGTGGATGAACAGCCAGAACTTTCCGCCAGAGTTTATAGCTGGTGAACGCGAAGAAGAAGAAGAAGAAGAAGACCATGATGATCTCTGTCTGCCTCCACATTGTTTACTCACTCCTAAAGGACCCTTTGTGTTGTTGACAGGTGTGGTGGGCAGCCTCAGATCTGGGTTGGGTGGTTGGACACTCATACATCACCTATGCCCCCTTGTTAAGTGGAGTTACATCTGTGATATATGAGGTGAGAGAGAATTTACTTATTTGTTACACTATAATATTTGCTCTGCGTCTATTCCAGTATGTTGATGAATGAATCCATTTACTCTCTTGCTCTTTGCTGCTTTTAGTAGCAAGCCGACATGCCATATTTTCATAGACGACCCTATCTAATGTACTAGAGGCGAAAGGCTAAAGGTACCAAGAAAAATAAAGAAAAAGAGTTTGTTAGGCGGGGACTAGAAACATGAATATTCTAGCCCACACATGATATCTTTTGTATACAGTCTAGATAGCGGTAACAGTGAAATCCACATGCGACTGGTCATCCCCACGCAGTCGCCCGTAACCAAGCTGTTTGGCCCCAATGTGCGGAGCCACAAAAGCTGGGTGGGTCTCTTGCACCCTGACCAACCGCAGGTTCAGCCCGGAAGCCAAAATGAGACTGGTTTTAAGTGAGTGCCTTTTTATAAACAGTGACCAGACTTCTTCGCATTTGCAAGTCAAGCTGCTGAACAGCGGTCTTTGGCGTTCTTCTACATTAAGGTCATCAATAGTCTAATGAAAAAATATGTGGTTAGCAACATATGGCCACAGAGCAAATTGGTTTGAGGAGGGACCTTCATTTTATTTTTCAATTTCTATGTGTGGCATGAAATGCTGAAGAAAGATTCTCAGAATAATGTGGACTTAGAAGAAGAGAACTACTGACATCCTAGAAAAATGTGAACCTCAAGGAAGATTGGCTAGTAAATAGCATCTTTTCTCTGAAATGCAAACTGTAATATTTTGGCCATATCCAGTAATGGAAACGCTTCGTAATGCGGGGTTGCCGGGTTTGATCCCACCTGCGGGCTATGCGCCTTGTGTTGGTTTCAACAGTGGTATCAGGGAGCCGACTGTCCAGCAAGCAATGCCAAACTATTGGACGTAAATTTTCCTAGAGAAACAACACAACAGCCAGGGGCTGCTGGGGTTGGTTCTGCAACATCCTATAAAGGATACGCAACTACCCTTAACCAGTAATGGAAAGATTATTAGCAGAAGGCACGGTACCAGGAAAGAAGGGCAGACTAACACAAAGATGGGCACAGGTTATGAGTGACACTGGGTTTTAAAGGACGTGAGACAGGAGAGCTGGTGAGAGACTAAGTTTCTTTTAGGCAGACCGTAGCTTCTGTTCCATTCTTCTTTTAATTAATCTACATTGTCTCATTTGTTACATTAACTCTTTGTCTTCCATTGCCGAATTACTTCAACTCATCAAGACTGAACCCTTGTTACTCTAAAGTGTACAACTTTAGGGCATTGTTTAAGTAACAGATGTCAGGGACTGAATGAGTGGAGTAGTGTAAATTTTCATAAGTGTAAATTGTTAAAGCTTCAGTCATTCAAGAACTTGCTGCATGAGTCTGTTGTTCAGGTCATGCAGGGGTTTACAGAAATAAAGGAGCTGGTATGCTGGCTGCAAACTGCTTATCCCTGGAACATTTAAAATAGAAGAGGGGATATACTGTTGGTAGTTAATACACAACAACACAAGCTACAAAACTAGCAGAAGACAGAAAAACTAATCAATCTCGTCTCTGCAACACTTTACAGTATAAGCTGTAGGACAAAAGAAGAAAAAGAATAATAAATAACGTGGTGCATGGTTATCTATTCCTTTATGAATCTGATCATTTTATATTTGTTGGAGAGGGAGAATTACTTCTGGAAATAGTCACAAAACATTGCCAGGCGACCACTATTACTTCCCAAGATATTTCATATACCCATTTTAGGCTGATTTAATCTGGAAGCCTTAAGTAAATTATAGAAATCTTCCTTCAGATGGACTTGGATGTAATACCTTTGAGCCAGCAGGCGGCATCTAACCACTACGCCACAGAACCTCTAAGATAAATCTAAATTTTAAAAATTCTTTTTTTATAAGCTTTTATAAAGGTAATTTTGTTTGTTTATGTTAAATACATTTCATTTGAAGAACTGTGCTCTTACACATTTTAAACATAGATACAGCTACTCACCTTGTATCTAATGACTGGTTAATCAGTTGAAATTTCATCCCTTGACCAAGATAAACTGTTGATATGAATCTCTTGACCAGGGAAAACCTGTTGGCACCCCAGACCCAGGAGCTTTCTTTCGAGTTCTTCGGGAGCACCAAGTCAAAGCCTTGTTTGTGGCACCCACAGCACTCAGGGCCATTCGTGCAGAAGTTGGTACTTAAATATTAGAATTATGTACAGAAGAGTGAGCTTTGTGAATGTGTCTTGCCTTTTTCTGTAGTCTGGAAGAATGTCGAGGCACCTTTACGCAGGAGATCCAAGGCCCCCCCCCCCTCCCGTTTCACCAATGTAAATTTTGTAAAATTTAACAAATTGTGGGTGTTTCTTTTGAAGTCTCTGACTATATCTGCCTGGCAATCTCTCCAAAACCTCTGTATGTGATTGTTTTTGTTTCCCAGAAACTCTGTATGTGATTGTTTTTGTTTCTCAGAAATATGACCTTTTCCTCCAAATATCCAGATTATTCATTTGGTGAAGGCCTTGCCATATCTGAGTGTCCACAGTGTTCTAAATCTGAAAATCTTGGTCTGTTGGTTTCTGTCTAGCTTGCGAGAGAGAGCGAGAGTGAGAGAGACACACTGTGTGTGTGTGTGTGTGTGTGTGTGTGTGTGTGTGTGTGAAAGAGAGAGAGAGAGAGAGAGAGAGAGAGTGTATAGTTGATTTCTGTTGGCATGTTCTTGCAAATGTCATTTGATAAAATTAGGCTGTCAGTGAGTGTATGCACATAGTCTCATTATAATATGTTCTCTTCAGTAGGTGAAACCATTTTAAATTAATTCCAGCAAAGCTTTCTGTTAGTTGTTTAAATCCTGAGCAAGTAGAGAATAAATACAGATAGTGTAGATTTCTGGGAAAAGTAAACTTTATTAAAAAAAGAAAGAAAAAAACCAGTAGCGAGATATATGCAATAAAATGCCCAGCGAAATCAGTGTGTAACAATTGAAAATAACACACGTTGCAACTCTGCTGTAAATGACAGAGTAACTAACTGTCAGAGACAGTGTGTCAGAGACAGTGTGTCAGAGACAGTGTAAGAGAGCTCAGCAACACAGCCCTGAAGGGATGCTACTTTTTGCAACAGTAAATTAAGTAGAATGTTGAATTAAGAATCGACATCACACCACTCGCGACACCCCCATAAGAGTTCCATTCCCATCTTCAGCTGCAAACGAAGAGTTAGAATTCCAATGGCACCAGTAACTGTCTGATTGTATATCCACCTCGCCTTTTCCCTGCGTGTCAAGCGTCGGCCAGATCCCCTTGTAACTCCACACAGTGCCATTCTCCTCAGACCATAATGATCTATCAATAGATTCAGTAACAAATGACATACCAGTGTTATGCCATTGGCCAATCGTCAACAAGTCAGTCAGTCAACCAGCTAACCAGTCAGTCACCCAGCCAACCTGCACACATGATTATTCCACGACTAAACATTTTCTTGCTTTTCATCTCAGGATCCGCATGGAGATTTTATAAAGCCTCACTTACCACTAGATAAGTAAGTTATTTACATAGCCTTCATTCAGAGGAATTTTTTGTACTATTGACCTTTTTCACCCCATTTCTTCAGGTGCGAGATTTCGTAGGGAATTCCCCAGGACACTCCTATAGTCTAGGGGGATTAGGGTCAGGATTAGTCTTAGTCACTTTTCATTTAACACTAATCCTAAAACACCACAATTCCTATATTCGAGGCGTATGATGTGTTGTTTATTTTCCCTGTTGTTGTCACTTATTGCATCTCATTTCTACTGTGTGTGTTACTTTCGTTCGTTCGTCGTCCTCACTCTGCCCTGTGTGGAAGCGCTGTTGTTCCGTGAATTACCTTGACCCTTCAGTGTTGCTGAATCTAACCCTAACCCTGACCCGAACCCTTGAACAGTCATTCACAGAAAAGACGGTTGCTGACCTTTCTGGGAGAAAAGAAAGATGCACACTTTCATGTGGAAGAAAATGTGTCGACTTGGTTAAATGAAGCGATGACACTTTTTGGCACGTTGTATACACATGGCGAACGAAGGCATGTCATGATGCTCCTAGAGTATAGGAGTGTCCTGATGAATTCCCTATGAAATCTCGCTTGTGACGAGAAAATTTTGAATAGTATCAAATTGTTTGTTTTTTCTTGTTCATCTTCATTTTCTAGCTGATCCTTTACAGAACTTTGCTCCCATCACAGGACACCTGAAAGAAACTTGATCACCTGTTTTTGCCTCAACTGTGTGGCTTGTAATGTAGTAGTTTTGTTTTCTTCTTTGTGAATTTCATTGTCATTGTTTGTTTAAAAATCTTCTTCATCACACATCAGACATGACCTTAAGTGCTCCAGTTTCCACCTGAGTATGTCTCCAAGTGTTTTTAGACTAACAATGCCCAGTCTTTTTTTTTTGGTTGATGTCACAACAGGTGTTGTGACAAAAACAAAATATTACACAGTTTATTGTCTTTCATATTTATCAGTGGCGTAGCGGCTGGACGCTAACCTGCCAGCTCAAAGGTCTTGGGTGCAAATCCACATTTTTTCTCCTTAAAACATGATCTTGGCTCACGGGACGACCCAGCCTAAAATGGATACCCAGGTAAAGTCATGGGAAGTAAAAGTGGTTGGTATGATACTGACCACATCATGCATCGAAGGCCAGTGAGTCTACAAAACTGCGAGTCTGGCATCATATGTCTCATGTGCTACTGGCATGGAAAGGGTTCTTTACTTCACTTACATTTTTCTGTACCTTATTAGATGCACACTGCAGAATTTGTTTCAGCATATCACTTGTCCCAGTTTGAGGTTTTGAACAACAGATCAACATCCTGACACACTGGTAGTAACCCATAAGTGATCTGTTCTACTTCTAACTCAAGTGTGAGTCCGAAGAAGCTCAGCACAGTGCACAAGCTGTATAGCACCAGCGAGGATCCTAAAAAAACTTTGGGTAGATTTTCAACTCCATATTTTGCCCGGGCAGTGCCCTTAGGCTACTCTTTTCGATTTCCAACTGCCAAGGTATTTTTTTCCGTGCGCAAAAATGCACACGGGCGTCCAATCTCACTGCTTGCAGATGAGTCAGACCTGTGAAATAGATGTGCATGCAACACTCAGTTTCTGGAACAGGATGAGAATCCAGAAGTGGGCGAACAACCAGAAATTTCCGCCTAAGTTTAAAACCGGTGAACCCGAAGAAGAAAAAGAATTACGAGACAAAGTTCTTTGGTCATGTGATGAGAAAAGGAGCACTGGAAAATATCGTGACCACTGGAAAGATCATTGGTAGAAGAGGCAGACAGAGAAATGATGGTGGGTGGCTTAAGACAGTGGCATAGAGGAATATCATTAGTAGAATTGATCCAGAAAACCAAAACCGAGATCTTTGGAGATGTTTGAATGCCTACGCCAACTGGCAAGGCACTTGATGTTGATGATGACATTAGGAAGCGCAAAATGTCGGAGGAGCGGGTGATGGAAGGGTTAAGAACACAGGGCTCTCTTGTGGGAGGCCTGGGTTCAGATTGTTGGTGAAGTTGGGAAATTTGTTTTTGTGTGGTCAGGGGCAAAAATAATATTCTTACCTGCATAGTCTGTGGCAACAGCAGTGTCCATGCAACCTTAAATCATCAGACTCAAAGACCCTTCCAGTGTACACTGCAGAAATGGTAATTACAGGCAGTTATGGAGTTTTCTTTTCTCCACAAAACAATAACCTTTTCAGCTGACATAGATAAATCACATGGTCCATTGTTTCGCTGAAAATCGCCACATAAGTCTTCTTCTTCTTCTTATTCTTAGTCCATGCCATATGGTGTTAGTAGTCATGTCTATCCACAACCTTCTGTCTTGTTTACTTTCAATCAACTCTGACACAGATGATCTTCCATGACATGATGTCAAACTGTCCAGCATCTGTTCTCTCAGTCTTCCTCTGCCTCTCCTCCCATGCAACTTTCTCGATGTACTCCAGTTTTCTCCTTCTCATCACATGACCAAAGAATGTAGATTGTCTCTTTCTGATGTGGGCAATCAGTTCTCTTTGTGAGCCAGTTCTTTCAAGGCATCTTCATTACTCTTTTTACCTGTCCAGGGTATTCTCATCATTCATCTATAAAACCACATCTCCGCTGCTTCCAAATAAGTTTTCACTAATTTACTAACTGTCCATGATACCTGTATATCAGTTTAGGATTTATGTAGCTTTTAAGAATTCTCTTTCTCATCTCAGATGACAAAGAAAGATTGCATAAAATAGTCATTTTGTAAAATGCCGCCTTTGCTTGAGCTGTTCGACATTTAACTTCCTTAATCCATCTTTCATCTGCTGTTATCAGGGTAACCAAGTACTTAAACATATCACAGACATAAGCCAGAAGTCTTATATTACAAAAAAAATGAAGCTGGTGTCATATAGCATAGGATCATGTGATTAGTTAAAGACTTCCATTGTGAGATAATGCAAGTAGGTCAGATACACAGATTTGTTTGTGAATCATCCGCAAAGAATAAGGAAGAAAATACAAGAAACAGTAAGGAAAGAGGCAGTGTGGGTTTGTGGAAGACAAAGGTGCTGCAAATGTGTATTTACTGAGCGTTTAATGGATGTAATCCTAGGCCTGCAGCTTCACCTCACTGACTACAGAAATACTTGATAAAAATGTCTATAAATCTCCAGGTTGATTGGGGAATACCTTAGACTTATAAGAGCATATATTGGAAACAACATGCTGCCAAACAAATAAATAATGAAATATGTCAGTAAATTAAAAGAGATGTGTGACAGGGGTGATTAATATCTTTAGATTTTGTCCCCCAGATATATAGGATATTATGAGACCAACATTTTTTGGTGTAGGAAACACAGAGATGAGTCCCTGCAGTGTGGCACCAGAAAATGCTGAGCGTGTGCTCCAACACTGTCAACTGTATGCTTACAGCAGAGACGCGATCTGGCCTATTCCAACCACAATGAAGACAAAGCTGTATGGTACATGAGAGGATATGGACTGCACAATAGCTTTCATAAAGGCTACCGGGCCTCCTGATATAAGTTTTCTGACAGAAGGATCGAAGAAGAAGGAGATGTGTGACACCCCCCCCCCCCCCCCCCAAATAAGAGGGGAATTGTTGTGTCAGGACTTATCATCAACAATTTAATGTGTGCAGGTGATACAGTATTTACTGCAAGCAGGGAATAGGATCTGTTTAGTGAATGCGGTAGTGGTACACAGTATCACCACCATGGGCTCTGATTTCCCATACCTCGCTATAGCACATGATACCACTCTTATCTGGAGAGACAGAAAGGTACCAGTGGAATAGTACACAACGTTCACAATGTACACAGTGAGGTGGGTTAGAGAGGTGCATTTTTTTCCTAATATTTACTGGCTGCTGTAAACTCCAGCAGAAAGTTCTGGTTGTTCTCTGCTTCTAGACTTAGGTCCTGCTCCATGCTTGTTGGGCGGGTGCGATGGTGCAGCGGCAGTGGGTCTAATTCCCCCCAGGCCCACGGAACCCTTACACACACGAGGAGAGAGATGAATAATATTAGCAGGACATAGAGTGAGCCCCTGGAGGTGGATAAAAATGATGGGATGACTTTAACGTGAGCTAATTGAGGACCTAAGCTGCATTGGAAGGTGAAAGAATAAGAACAAACGAATAAAGTAGTTATTATCAAAGTGTTAAGAATCGGTCACACAGGAAGAAAAATGACCCTGCCTGTTATTGGATCAGACACCTTAACCATTTACCCTGAGTCCTTTTGTTTCAGATTTGAGACATTGTTTGTCGCTGGAGAGCACTGTGACCCAGAGACAGCACTGTGGATACAGGATCTGATACAGAAACCAGTGCTGGACCACTGGTGGCAGACTGGTGAGTTAATTCTGTGTTAAATGCTATTGTAAACAGTGCAGCAGAGCATCCACCATATCCGGAGAGAAACATTTAGCTAGGAATGGACAAAGGATCTGGAAGATTGTTATCCACAAGGGAAGAAAAAAAAAGGCGAAACTGTAATCATTTTGCAACTGACATCAGTAGTTTGGGAACTTTTCATTAGCTACTGAAGAAAGGGATGGAGCACATACTGGAATGTCCCAAGTGCTGTGATGTAAATTCTTGATTGATTGAATGATTGATTGATTGATTCATTCATTTATATACCATTGTTTAAAAAATAAACAGGTTTAGAGGTGAGTTTATTAGTTTCATTGTGCCAGGTTTTATCCAGTATGGTTTCAATCTGTCTCTCTGCAGGGCAACTGGTTGTACTTAGGACAAACTCCCTTAGTTCCAACATAACCACTATAGATCTCCAAAACATCTGCACTCAACAAACCTAAGGACAGTCTGAAATTGAGCTCACAATATTCTCAAGGAAAATGGCTTAACTACCTTGCAACAGAGACCCAACAGAGTTTAGTCTCCTTCTGGTGTTGGCAATCAGTTCTTTTCATGACTCTTTTTATTGTCCAGAGCCTTATCATAATTTGTCTGTAAAACCACATCTTCCGTTTCCTAATCATTTTTCACTAATCGGCCAGCCTCACCTTAGAACGAGCAAGTGCGACCTGAAAACTTATGGTTATGATGGGGGCAGATCAGGCTCTTAGCCTTAGTTGGATGTTAGTCTAGGAGGGAAATATCAGTCTGCAGACAAAACACTGCTCTTCTGTTCTAGCAGTTTCTGCAACATGCTTTGTTCCAAATTTATTGGTGTTACATTTCTGTCAGAGTTAACAAGGCAGACTGAGAGAGGGATCTTGCTGCGTGAGCAACACATGGTGTCTTCAAAATTGCTTAGGTTTTATACCATGGAAAGGAGGAACTTCATCATTAGTCTTAATTAGTATCACCATGGGCTGTGATTCCTATACCTCCATATGGTAGATTGGAATAATATTGCGAGGAAAGATGCAAAAGTTGCCTGGAAGAGAGAACGAAAGAACAAACTCTATTTTCAGAGGGTTAAAAATTGGGTACGCAGGCCCATCTGACATTCTGCCCTTCAAAGCACTCATCTTTCAGAGCACCATTGCCTGTTATGTTCATGTTCCTGCTTCTAACCATGTATATGTGTGTACACAATTCTTTTCCTTGTTTTTGTGGTCACACTTTCTTTCCTGTCATTATTTACTCTTCTCTCGTAAAGCTGTCACTGGATTTAATTAGGTGAATATAATAACTTGTATTTTTATTTTTTATAGAGACTGGTTGGGCAATAACTGCTACCTGTAGAAGTTTGGGCATGGATTTGTACCCGTCTCCTGGCACAACAGGCAAACCTGTGCCTGGATGGAATGGTAAATTTTTATTTTAGCATGTCATTTTGTATTTTTATCTGTGATAGAAATGTTACGGTACTGTTGTTACTGTTGGTGTAAGACAGTCACAATGAACTGTGCAGATTAGGATGATTATCCCCCCTCCCCCTGATAGAAAAATCTGTCGTCACCTTACCGAAGATCTCCTGCGTTCTAATAAGACGCCAGCTGCTCATATATAGTACCGTTGTTGATCTTATGGTTCCAGAATAAGGTTTCATTGGCTATCTGTTTAAATGGTTTCCTCAAGTTCTGAAGTTAATGGGTTTGCTCCCCATGTTCTGAACTTTGTGGATTTGTTCCACAAAGTTCATACCAACTGTCATTATACATACTATAGGTACTATAATTATAGCAGAAGGCATGGTACCAGGAAGGAAGGGCATGGGGCGACCGACATGAAGGTGGGCACAGGATATAAGTGACTCTTAGAGTATGAAAGTGCATGAGGCGGGAGAATTGGCGAGAGACTATGATGAGAGCGATGTTCTGCAAAGGACCTGCTACATGATGACGATGATAGGTACTATAGTATGATTATCCCTGCCAGCTAAATCCTTCTGTAGATCTTCCTGAAAAGGATTGAAATAGAAGCTAGAATATGAATTACAAGAAGCACAGACAGGTTTTGATATGATAGATAAACAAGGGATCATATTTTCAGTATGAGAATCATCGCTGAGAAATGTAGACAGTGCAAGATAGATCTCCATACGTGCTTCATAGACTACAGCAAAGCTTTTGACTTGTGTTCAACACAAAAAAACTGGCATTTACTGAAATTCATGGGATTCCTAACACATATGTTATATCTCTGGAATCTCTTTACCATGAACAACAAGAAGCAGTCAGAGTAGCTAGTGAAAGATGAAACTGGTTTGAGATGCAGAGAGGAGTAAAAACAAGGCTGCACACCAACCATTTATTAAAATATAATAAAAATATTGAAAATATCACAGATTTGGAATACTTAGGCTCACTACTACCATGACCAAACTATGTATGGAAGACACTAGTAATGTAGTAGTATATAAAGGCAGAAAGAAAGACCTTTCTCAAATAACATCTGGTTTAAAGCAAGGTGATACTCTGTCCCCACTTCTTTTCAACTTGGCCCTGAAGAAAGTTATAAGGAAATTAAAACAAGAGGAGAATCTACAAGAATACTTGGATATGCAGATGACATTGATATTGGAGAAAATGAAGTAGAGACTGTTAAAACGCTGACTCTCTCAAAAGAATCAGCTCAGAGAATGGGACTAGTTATCAATCAAGATAAGAAATTATAAGATGAAAATAAACAGGTAAAGGATATAAACTCCAGCCACATACAAGTTGATAATATGAAAATCAAATGAACGGAAACATATAAGTACTTTGGTGCAAACTTCAACTGCTCCAATAGCTGATAGAAGAAATACAATCTAAAATACAATCTGGAAATAAAGTATACTATGCCCTTCAACATCTGCTAAAGTCAAAGTGTCTGCCTCGCAACACCAAGATAAAAATATATAAAACGTTGATAAGACCGTGTTTTATATGGTTCTTAAACTTGGAGCACAACTGAAAGAGATGAAGCCTTATTACAGGTTTTTGAAAACGGAGTCTTACGACGAATCTTTAGACCTATCAAAGATGCACACTTAGGGGAATCAAGAGTGAGAAGCAAAAATGAAAATTCAGAATCTGTTTAAATCACCACTGATCACTGGCATCATGAGAGCTAAAAGACTTAAATGGTTGGGGCATATTGAAAGAATGTCAGATGACAAAGAATTAAAAACTGTATACACAAGGGAGAGATGAATGGTCATAGACCACAAGGCAGACCAAGAAGACGATGGAGAGATAATATCCAGACAGACCTGCAAACACTTGGTGTCACCAACTTGAAAGAGAAGGTCAACCAGAGAGATGAATGAAGGCGAGTGATATCTGCAACAGTGAACCTCAAGGGCTCAGAATGCTGAAGAAAAAGATTATAGGCTAGGTTGACCTCAAGTCTCAGGATAGTGACAAACTAAATGCCACTCATGCAATGGTGAAGTGAGTCATGTTTGTTTGATATGCGACCTATGTCCCATGCAACTAGAGTTAGTGGACAAGAAACAGTGGATAACAGCTAGAACTTTATGTCGGAGTTTACAGCCCGTGAATGCAAAGAATAAGAACAAGAAAAAGAGGAGCTTTTGGAGTTACAAGAAGAGATATAATTGAAAATAAGGAAATTGAAGAAAAGTAGAATTTAAACCAGTCAGCGTACAGTTTATTAAAATAACTGATGAGATGGTTTGGCCTTTTGATGAGAATGTCCTGCTACTAACTAGAACAGGGAGCATTGGAAAGACCATGCAAGAGTTGGAGGGACAGGATCAAGAACATCTTTAAAGAAATGAAGATTAACTTTTAAAGAAATGAAGATCAACCTTTAGAGAAATGAAGATTGGCCTTTAAAGAAATGAAGATCAACCTTTAGAGAAATGAAGATTGGCCTTTGAAGAAATGAAGATCTACCTTTAGAGAAATGAAGATCTATCTTTAGAGAAATGAAGATTGGCCTTTAAAGAAATGAAGATCAACCTTTAGAGAAATGAAGATCGGCCTTTAGAGAAATGAAGATCAACCTTTAGAGAAATGAAGATCGGCCTTTAGAGAAATGAAGATCGGCCTTTAGAGAAATGAAGATTGGCCTTTAAAAAAATGAAGATCAACCTTTAGAGAAATGAAGATCGGCCTTTAGAGAAATGAAGATCGGCCTTTAGAGAAATGAAGATCAACCTTTAGAGAAATGAAGATCAACCTTTAGAGAAATGAAGATCAACCTTTAGAGAAATGAAGATCAACCTTTAGAGAAATAAAGATCGGCCTTTAAAGAAATGAAGATCTACCTTTAGAGAAATGAAGATCTACTTTTAGAGAAATGAAGATCTACCTTTAGAGAAATGAAGATCTACCTTTAATGAAATGAAGATCTACCTTTAGAGAAATGAAGATCAACCTTTAGAGAATTGAAGATCTACCTTTAAAAATATGAAGATCAACCTTTAAAGACCACTAAATGAAATAACAACGACAGTGAAATTTATACAAGAGACAAAATTGCTGATATAGACAACTTATTTCAGGCAAACGAAAGAAGAAGAAGAAGAAGAAGAAGATCAACTTTTAAAGAAATGAAGATTTACTTATAAAATGCAATAGAAATAGCACACTGAAGAACCTTACATCTTCCTCCAACACTTTGATGAGGTAACTGGAAAAAGTGAAGGAGAAGAAGAAAATGAAGAAGAGGAAGAAGAAGAAGAAGAAAAAAAAAGAAAAAGACAAAGAAGAAGAGGGAAGTAGTAGTAGCAGTAGCAGAAGTAGCAGCAGCAACAGCAGTAGTAAGTAGTAGTTAGTAGTAGCAGCAGCAGTAGTAGTAGTAGTAGTAGTAGTAGTAGTAATTACTAGTAGTAGGTTTATTGTGGTTTTCATTGTTATAACTTTCAGTTCAAGTGTTGAAACCTGATGGACAACAGACCAAAGCTGGAGAGCTGGGACAGATCTTTGTCAAGTAATACATGTTTCAGTTGAAATAGTTCTCTTTCTTTCACTTGTTACCTTGTTCTTGCCAGACAGTATCTTTTCTTCTTCTCTTTCCTCCTCCTCCTCAACTTCTTCTTCTCCTACTTCTTCTTCTGTATTCCGCAGTGAAGCTTTGGCTCTTAACCAGCTCCCTCCAAGTGGTCCTATTCTTCGCCATCGCATGCAGCTTACCCCATGTCTTCAATGTTTGTTTACTCCATTCTCTTCTTCTCTTCTCCATTTGGTTTTTGTTTATTGGTCTGCCTTTATTTATTTAACCATGGTGGTTACACCACAGAAACATCTGTCTTATATTCTTCTCATGTTTTCTCAGTATGAACTATCCAACGCCAGCATCTTTTCCTCACCTCTTGATTCATCGAATTTGTTCAATTCTGTCTCATAGTTCAACATAAGTAATTCTACCGTACCATGTAACTGTTTCAGTACCAAGCACCTTCCCACACATTTACTGTTACTCTCTCCATGATATGCTTGTCTTGTCTCTTTGGTTACTCTTCATGATATGCTTGTCTTGTCTCTTTGGTTACTCTCTCCATGATATGCTTGTCTTGTCTCTTTGGTTACTCTCTCCATGATATGCTTGTCTTGTCCCTTTGTTCCTCACCCAGCTGGTACATTGACTCCTTCTTTCCAAATGTTTACCAATTACTGTTCAACTCATTTTGTGCTATCAGCAGTCACCATGTCCTTTACAGAATGTCATTCTCATCATGGCACACCTTGAAGTATCTCTTTCTTTAGGCAGTTCTCCAGCCATCTCTGCTTTCATAGACAATACATCTGCAATGTCTTGTATCCACTGTTGCCGAGGTCGGCCCATGCCTCATTTTGCAGAAACTGTACCCTCCATCATCATTGTCTCCAGGTCACCATACTGTTCAACAGGTCCATAATATACCAGCATTCAGGACAGGATGCTGTTTATCAGGCAATTCTCCTCGATGCTCAGATCATATAGGATGTCGTTGTTACTCTTTTCCTTGGTCTTGACATTCTACAGTGATTGAGTAAGATTCCATGACTCGCATCCATAAGTTGCCATGAAAAAGATGCATGATCTCAGAATGGTTACTTTAGCTCTCTTGCAGGTGATGTGCCATAGGTCTTTATGCTGTCTAGTTTCTTAATTTGCTAAAGTGAGTCTTTTTGTTCTGTAGTGTTTTATATGAGGGGAGGTCAATAAGTAAGTCACAAATGGTTGTTTAAAAAAAAACTAAAGACAATAACAACTTGAAAATCATTAATTTTTAAACATATACTGTCCTTTATCTTTCAACATAATTTCCATCAACATTGATGCACTTGTCTCATCGTTTTATCCATCCTCCCAAACCTGCTAATTACAACTGCGTGCTATGTTTTTGAAACCACATTTTTACTTCACATTCAACTTCCATGTCATTCGTTAAATGTCTCCCGCCAAGGGGGATTTTCAATGGACTGCTTCACAGGATAAACATTTGTTAGCATTAACAGAAAGCATTTCCTTATGAATGTCCTTTGCATGCACCCCCTCCCCCCCCCACCCCCACCCCAAAGAAAAGAAAATACACAAAAAACAACAACGCTGCACAACACGGTGGTCTTTTAGGATACACTCTGTAAGTACAGTAGCCATTTTGCTTCTGTGTTGCAAATGTACATGCAACACCTAGAGCCACCCAATGAATGGAGACATAAAGTTTTATGTTGCTGTCACCTAATGACACCTTTGGAAACCACCAGCTACATTTTCCTGCCATCCCATAACCATTTGGGACTTACTTATTTACTTCCTCTCATATTTAAACCCACTGAGACCCTGGCAGGTCTTACTTCAGTTCTTTCAGTCCCATGGGGTTTAGTATTAGGCCCCAGGGGTAGTAAAGAGAGATGTGAAATCGGCTGATCTTGAGGCTGTTGGGCTCTAGGGAGGAACCTATAAAGGTATGATGTGTTCCTTGGGACTGAAAGAGTTAATTAAAATTTAGGATCCAGTGAGTTGAAGCAATGCCTGTCTGTGACTGACAGAGTGAATTCTCTGACACCTCAAATCTTGCTGTTGCCAGACAACCTCTACCGCCAGGATTCATGTCTACACTGTACAAGGCTGACCAGAGGTTTCACGAGACCTACTTCAGCACAATGCCAGTGAGTATGATCAATGTTAGTGCTTGCTTGGGCAGCTTTAAAGAAGCAGAACTACTAGAGTTTTGTACTGTTCTGCACTTTTATTAATCTCATCTCATCTCATCTTGATCTTATACCTTGCGGTGTCAAGGTGAAGTATAATTACGGGAAAGTACCCCATTTGTGCACTAGGTAAATTGGGATTTCCTGAAGACTGCGTCATAGAATATGGACAGAATTAGTCTCAAACCTTTGAAATGTAATTATAATTTTATGATTTTTATCTATGTCTGTATTGATCCTTTCCCAAACTGTACACAGACGAGTTGAATGGGAGAAGACCAAGTATAAGGCAAATAAAAATGAGTGTTTCCTTCAAAGTTGGAGTGCATCTCCTTGAGAGTCATGGATCCAACAGCCTGCATACAGATACCGGTAAACCGAATGTGCATGCAAAACTCAAGTTCTAGAACAAGACCAAAGTCCAAAAGTGGATGAACGACCAGAACTTTGCACTGGAGTTTACAGCCGGTAAACACTAAGAAGAAGAAAAAGAAGAAGGAGAAGAAGAAGATCTCAGGGATGGCTGTAACCACTCATTAACTCTCAATTTTTTTTTTAAATTTGTCGTTAATCACAGAAATGATTTCTCCCCAGGGCTACTATGATACTATGGACTGTGGGATTCGAGATGACAAGGGCTATATTTCTGTACTGTCTCGCAGTGACGATGTCATCAATGTGGCAGGTCATAGATTGTCATGTGGCACAATCGAAGAGGTGGGTGGTTAATTTGTAACCACATGCGGATTGAGGGGCCCCATTTGCGGGGGACACGAATAAATCCACTGCCCCCCCCCCCCCCAAAAGCTTGTTGTAACAGTCGGCTGATTAGGGGTGTGTTTCCTTAAAAAATTAGAATGCATCTGCCAGAGAGGTGATGAACCAACAGTCTGCATACAAGTAGGGCAGATCTGTACAACAGCTGTGCACTCAAAACCCATTTTTTGAACAAGACTCACGTCCAGACAGAACTTCCACCAGAGTTTACAGCCACTGAACTGAAGAATAAGAAGAAGAAATAATGTATGGCAGGAGTGAGGGCAGATGTGCCTGCATGCCCAGTTGTCAGCCTGTGCTGACATTGTTGCACATTGGCAACTATGAACCTCTTTTAACTGCAGTGAAAAGTCAAAAAATGCAATGGTATGAACATGTAATAAGATCTAATGGCCTGTCAAAAACAATACTGCAGGGCTCAAGTAGAGGGAAAGAGGAGAAGAGGCAGACCAAGAAAAACCTGGTGACAGAACCTGACTGACTGGACAGGCCTCAGGCATGCAACCATGAAGTCCATCGCGACTGACCGCCAAAGGTGGAGAGAGCTGATCAGACAGTCAACAGAAACTGGTGACCCAGCGACACGTAGAGTTACGGGATGATGATGATGGATGGCATGTTTAGTAGTTTCCTTCTTTTTATAGTCCATGCTGTGTGGGGTTGGTAGTCAAAACTATCCACAGCCTCCAGTCTCCTGTACTTTCAGTAATTTCTGATGCAGACGGATCTTCCATACGATGATTTCAAACTATGGAGCATCTTCTCTCTTTTCTCCAGCTGACTTTCCCAGTGTCATGATGTGCTCCAGTTTCCTCCTCATGACAAAACCAAAAAATATAGATTGTCTCCTAATGTGATCAGTTCTCTTTGTTTTTTTTAAAAAAAGACATCTTCTGTAACAGGTAACATTTTTACTGTTCTTGACTTCCTCTATTGGCCCACTTGACACATAGTCAAAATGTAAAAAAAGCAAAGGACCCTTTTCCACCCCTTTGAGGCGTATTGGGTATATAGGGCTGCCCTATATTTTATAGACCAAACAACACTTGGTGGGTGATGTGGTTAGTATCACCTCGGCCGCCTTTGCTTCTGAGGAATACACCTGGTACCCACTCAAGGCTGGGTCAACCTAGGAGCCAAGGCCGTTTTTGAAAAAATGTCCAGCTGTCATTAGGAACCAAACCCACAACCTTCCGATCCGCCGCTAGACCAAGGCAGCTCCAAACTCATACTAAAGTATAAAGTTAAATAAAGGACCATTTTGCATGCCTTCAAGTGTGTTTGGCATAAAGAGCTAGTCTTATATTTTATAAATCAATCAGCACTAAGTGAAGATGCTGGTTGGTCAGCACCACATCAGCGGTCTTTACTTCCCAGGACTTTACCTGGTACTCTTTTAAGACTGGGTCTACCTGGAAGCCAAGGTCATTTTTTATTTTTTCAAAAGTCCTGTTTCATTCAGATTTGAACCCACGGCCTTTGGGTCGGCAGCTGAGTGTGAAGTCGCTACACCATGGCAGCTCCCTCGATAAACACATGGTTGTTATAATTGCTGTTTACTTCTTTCAGGCAGTTTTAGATTGCTCTGAGGTAGTTGAGGCTGCAGTTATTGGAGTACCAGACAAGCTCAAGGGCAGTGTACCGCTGGGATTGTGTGTGGTCAGACATGGTTAGTGCCCCTGATTTTATATATATATATATGTTGTTTTAGTATCCGGAAGCCATGAGTTGTTAACCCTTAGGCTCGATATTATGGATATCGCAACCTTTCGGCCTTGATTCCATTGTAAATACCGTAAATCTGGGAGAAATGTGGCTTGTCTGCCTACCCCCGGGAGTGAACTCGGACCACAAGGAGTTCGTTACCCGGTCTCCGTGCAATCCGGTTTAGCCAATTACGCTAGAGAGCCAGGCATTTTATATATATAAATGTTAGTTGTAATTATGTACAATATCTCTAAAGGTGGTACTTTTCTTCTTCTTCTTCTTCTTCTTCTTCTTCTTCTTCTTCTTCTTCTTCTTCTTCTTCTTCTTCTTCTTCTTCTTCTTCTTCTTCTTCTTCTTCTTCTTCTTCGTCTTCGTCTTCTTCTTCTTCTTTTTCTTCTTCTTCTTCTTCTTCATCTTCTTCTTCTGCACTTGATGTCCCAATGGAGCATAGGTTGTCAACCAACTCATGCCTGGTCGTCCTATCCTTTGCTATTGCATATGATCCTGATCTTTTTAACTTTATTCACTGGCTCCTTCTTCCATGTTTTTTTGTCTGCCTTTATTTCTATGCCCCTGTGGGTTCTAATGCAAAGACATTCTAGTTATATTGTTCTCTGGGCTTTCTCAGCATGTGTCCTATCCAACGCCAGCATCTCTTCTTCACCTCTTGATTCACCAGATTTTGCTTAGTTCTCTCTCACAGCTCAACATTAGTCTGAGACTTTATTTAGTCATAAGTTATAAACCATAAGTACTCTGCTACCAGCATGGACAGCTGATAAAAACGGTCCGCCTGTGTCGCCCTCTGCATGCAACTCTGTAGCTACAACAACGTTTCTCCATTTTCCCCAGAGTGTTGGTACCTATTACCTAGAGACTGGATGAACCCTGGGAACCACCCAGTTTCAAACACTGGCCGTAGGCTGCAGCGAGTCGCAGCTGGATGTGAAAGCAAGTCTCCTATTGACTGTGCTAATGCGGCCCCTTAAACAACAGTCATAAGATGGAACGTGTTGTAGTAAGGGCATGCATCAACATCTGCCAGCCCCTACAGAATAAAATTACAGGGCTCTATAGAGAAAAAGGGGCAGACCAGTAAAGACCTGTATATTTGGCTGTGTGGACAGGCCTCAATTTAAAAAAAAAATTTTGCACAGAAAATTACAAACACAGGAAGAAGATAAAGAAAGACAAGAGATTAATACTATGTCTGAGCATAAAGTGAATGCAAGGAAATGACAAATGATAGGACAGGTCATCTTAATGCAAGTAGTTTAATGACCCATTCTCTAATTTTTTTTTTTTTAAATAGCAAAAGAAGAAGGCTGGCTGCTCCTGTTGGTTTTCATTATGGTATATTAACACTGTGATGTTTTTAAAAAAAATCTGAACATCATAAAAGATTGGCCAGTAAACAGCATCTTGTCTCGGAAGCTGAAATATTTTGGTCATTTCAAGCGCCATGGTGGGTTGGAAAAAGAAAATGATAGCAGAATCCATGGTTCCAGGAAGGAGAGGCAGGAACTGACCAACACAAAGATGGGCACAGGATATAAGTGACTTCTTGAATATGTAAGTACACAAGCCGGGAGAGCTGGAGGGAGACTGAGTTTCTTTTAGGCAGACCCTGATGAGAACAACATTCTGCAAAGGAACTTCTACATGATGATGATAGTGATGTTAGTGATTCAATCTCTTGACTTCTTCTAACAGGTTCCACAAAATCCGAGGAAGACATCAAGTCTGAGGTAATCAAATGTGTCAGAAATGGGATTGGTCCTGTAGCAGCTTTCAGACTGGTGGTGATTGTGCCCAAGCTGCCCAAAACCAGGTCGGGGAAGATAGCCCGCAACACTATAGCTGCTCTGGCAGTCGGCAAGCCTTTCACAGTAAGTTGTGGGGTAGTTGTGTTAGTGTGGAGGAGTTGTCAGTAGGGCAGAGCTATTAGTATAGAATACATGACAGTATAGCAGGAGCGGCTGACTGAATGGTTAAGAACACAGAGCTCATTGGCAGTAGGATGGGGTTCGATAGTCTGGGGGGGGGGGGGGGGGGTTGGCGGCAAAAATAAAATCAGACGGCTCACCTCACATTTACAGGCCCTGGCTTCGCCCATATACTCACTTATGAATGACGGAGGCGGGACAGGACACTGTAATTGGACGTTAAGTCTCCGCCTTAAGCTGTCAGATAGTCAGGTGGAAGTGGTGTAAGGTAATCTCTCTTGCATATATTGTGGAGTGCATAGCAGTGGCTTTTCTGCATAGGAAATGAATTTATTGCAGAGGGTAGAGTTCCGTGTCTGCAGTGACAGAGCGTTGTGTGGGCCACCGCAAAATATTAAGTGTGAAACCACAGCACTTAGAATGCACTTTCTCGTGGGACCTAGGTTCAGCTTGTGGCGAATGGGGTTTGGGTTGTAGATTTTATGGGATCGTTAAAATCACTAACTTGCTGTAATATAGAGGTCGCAGTTCGGGATAGGGAGTTCGCGATGTTCTGAGGTCATAAATGTGGGTACGGCAACACCCCTTTAACCTTTACAGAAATCGACTCGGCTGATCAAGTATCAGTGAAAATGTGTGTAGTGTGTAAATGAGCGGAGCTAACCTAGATGGGTCTTAAAAAGTGATAAGAAACCATCCCACTGCTACATTACAACTGGTAAAGACAAGCAGTAATAGCAGTTGGTGGCAGTATGGAGTAGGTGTCAGTATTGTAAAACTATAAATATAGAATATATTTCTAAATAGAAAGAACATAACCCTTGACCCATTAGGGGCGTGGAGGTGTATTAGTGGAAGCGCAAGCACTCTAAACGTGCCATCTCTTTCTGTCTTTTGCTTGTTGAACAAGTGTAGGATAACTGAGTCCTGTCTGTTTCTTGATATTATCATTCCAGGTTCTTCTTTCTTCTTTGCCCTCCTCTTCTTTGACTATCCATTCATTCATGAAAGCTGAGATTGTGCACACAAAAGTGCATGCTCTTCTGAACATAATCAGCCACCCTCCATTCTAGTGCAGTCAACATCACACCACCGGCACACCATAAAATACACATTCCACATTAAATCCACAGGTCATAGTATCGCATCAAGCACACAGCTCAGTAGCTGGTAAACGAAACCCTTGGATCCCTGGTCCAGAAATGGGGAATTTCCATTTGCAAAACCTACCTATAAAGAAATAACATTTCAGAGCATCAGTGATCAGCTAGCTTTTTGCCCTAACCTATAATGTGAAAAGACCTAACACATCGTGTGGGTTCCGGGGTCTTCTATGAGGAAAACAAGAAAAGACCCCCTGTATTTTCAAAAGTATGTCATAAGGGTCGACTAACTAGGGGGGGGGGGGGGGTGGGGCTTCCTTCTCAGTCAGAGTACATCTGCCTGAGATGCAAGGACCAACATTTCCCACTCAGATGAGTAAGATCTGTAAAAACAGATCCACGCGCAATAATTAGATTCCGGAATAGAACCACAGTCCAAAGGTGGACAGACAACCAGAACTTTCCACTGGAGTTTGAACAGGAAGAAAAGGAGAAGTAGAAGACACCCCATTGTTAGTATTTTCTGTGGGATAAATTTTAAAAAAATGTATCACATTTGTATTACATTTATTAAGCTTGCTATCGTTAACATTCTGCCCTATTCTTAGATGCCTGTGACCATTGAAGACCCTAATGTGTACATTGCTATACGTGAGAAGCTGCAGGCTGTTGGTTTCGCTCCAGATCCTTGACACTAGGATTCATCTAGTTATAAAGGTTTGTTTTGCTTCAAGCAGTTTTATTTTCTTTCATTCATTTGTATGGAATTTTATTTCCTATTATTGTTTTAAGTGTGTCATATATACACATTATATACTCATGTGGCATGCCCAGGGCTTTTTCTGGCAGTAGGCAGTCCCAGCATCTTTTTCGTGGTGTAATTTTTTTTCCAGCTCTGCTGTACTGGACACTTAGTGGTGAACACCGGCACCCTTTTTTAAACACTTTGTGGTGAACACCGGCACCCTTTTTTAAACACTTTGTGGTAGGTAGTGGCACCTTTCTTCTAGAAAAAAAAAGCCCTGGACTTGACAGCTAGCGTGGACAGTTATGATTCTCCACATCTTGCACTCTCCAGCAACATATATTGATTTATGTTGTTCTGTCCACTTTTTGTCTTATCATTATGTGACCCCCAAAAATAACTGCCTCTTTGATGTTTCTGGAAGCGGCCGTGGTCTAGTGGCTAGACGCCCGGCTGCGGATCGAAAGGTCGTGGGTTGGGTTCCTGATGATGGCCGGATTTTAAAAAAAAATGACTGGATCCAAGGTCGACCCAGCCTTGAGTTGGTACCATTTACAGTCCTGGAAAGTAAAGGCAGCCGGCATGATGCTGACCACATGACCCACCAATTGCCGTTTGGTCTGTAAAATATAGGTCTAGCCCTATATACCCAATACGTTTGAAAGGCATGGAAAAGAGTCCTTTACCTTACTTTACTTGATGTTTCTGGTATGTTGTCTTTGTATTTGAACCTCTTTCAGAACAAATTGATTTCTTTGGTTGTCCTCAGAATTGTAAGCATTCTTCTATTAAAACCATACCTTAAGAATTTTTTTTTAAAATATTGTAATCAAATGACCACGATTCGCAGTAATATGTCTTTTATTCTCGGCATTCACTGGCTGTAAACTCAGGTGGAAAGTCTGGTGTTCGTCCACCACTCCTCCCCCACCACTGTGGAACCCCAGAAGGCACACAGGGACTCAGCCATGTGTCAAAACTGGGGCGCTTCTTTGAATCGTTCCCCAAAATGGCGGCTGTAATATGATGGCGTTCAAAAAGGAGCTAAATTTGCCAATTTCTGGCCATAAAATATCCGAATGCGGGGTCAGTTCTATTAAAAATATATGTGCCGGCTCCGAATAACGAAACAAATGCTCTGACAGGGTCTGGGCGATACGTTGCTTGCCGACC